AATCCAGATTATTCATCCATCTTATACGATATTTTCGAAAGGTCATGGATGGGATACTTTGGCGGATATGAAAATGATGTTACCAAAGTTGTAATATGGAAAATCGAGACGCTTTAATTCGAAATCAGATAACAGATCTGATTAAGAAGATTCGAGTTTCACGTTGCACGCGATCTCCTTGAAGCAAATTCGACCCGCCACCGATTACTTCCCAGGATAAAATGAATTGATCAGGGATCTACGATCCCACCACAAACCGAAGTAAGAAAGCTCTTTTTGGAAGTTTTGGAGGAAAATCGAAGAACAGAGGGAAACAGAGAGTATGAAAAAAAAAAACAGCCGGCTAAATTTTGATTCACGTTAAGGATTTATGGTGAGTGTAATTTTCAATTTAAAGAAGAATATTAAATTAAACTGCCACAAAAGTAGCAACCACTCCACACGTTACTTAGTGTTGCAACCACTTTCTTTTACCCGGTCAATTTGAATTTTTCAACTGTCAAAATAAATTAATCGGATAAAATACAAAATTTGAATTAATTAATTTTCTCGCAAATGAGCCCGGCCCACGAGCCCCGCGGCCCCAAGGCCCAATCTTGACTATATATATATTTATATATATACACCCAATGACCCAATAGGCCCATTCATAATTGGGCCCAATCCAACCAATTAATTCATTTATTCATAAATGCATCACATTGCATTTATGGAGGGTGGAGTTTATTTGTTTTTTCTAATATGGGATAAACTCCTCACTTTGTGTCGACGGCGAATATGTCGACTCTTTCCATTGTACATTGTACTCTCTGCTCTGCCAATAGCAAATTTACTATCGCAGTAGAGAGTTATGGCAGAGACAGGCTTGTCCCATTTTGGAATGTCCTCAAGGAAGTGGCTAATCTATTCTACCTCTTCTCCAGCTTTGTCCAAAGCAATGAACTCAGATTCCATTGTGGATTTGGAAATAATTGTTTGTTTTGAGGATTTCCAAGAGATTGCTGCACCAGCTAGTGTGAACACATATCCACTAGTTGATCTCGAATGAAGTGTGTCAGATATCCAATTGGCGTCTGAGTAGCCTTCTACTGCAGCTGGACGTCTATTGTAGTGCAGCCCGTAGTCTCGAGTGTATCGTAAGTACCTAAGTACACGAACTATGGCTTTCCAATGCTCGCGACTAGGATTACTTGTATACGTACTCAGCTTGCTTATAGCATAAGCTATGTCGGGTCTAGTGCAGCTCATTAGGTACATTAAGCTTCCAATTATCCGAGCGTATTCGATTTGGGATACACCCTCTCCACGATTCTTGGATAAATGGACACTTGTCTCCAGAGGAGTTCTCGCTATTCCTGTATCATCCTTACTGACTTTGTCGAGGATTTTGTCTACATAATGAGTTTGACTCAAAATTAGACCATTTGCGGTTCGGTTGATCTTAATTCCTAAGATCACATCAGCGAGACCCATGTCCTTCATGTCAAATCTAGAATTTAGCATGTCTTTAGTAGACTTAAAGATATATTCGTTGCTACCAACGATAAATATATCGTCTACATAAAGGCATATTATCACATAACCTGACTCAATGGTCTTTACGTATATACATTTGTCACATTCATTAATTCTGAAACCACTATCCATCATGGTATGATCAAATTTCCCATGCCATTTCTTTGGAGCTTGTTTAAGTCCGTATAGTGATTTCACAAATCTACAGACCTTCTTTTCTTTACCTGGAACCGTAAACCCTTCTGGCTCTTCCAAATAGATCTCTTCATCAAGATCTCCATTTAAAAAGGCCGTTTTCACATCCATTTGATGTACCTCGAGATTCCGCAAAGCAGCTATCGTAAGGATCATCCTAATGGATGTTATTCTCGTGACAGGAGAATACGTGTCGAAGTAATCTAGGCCTTCTCGTTGCCTGTAGCCTTTGATTACAAGTCTAGCCTTGTATTTGTCTACTGTACCGTCTGGTTTTAATTTTCTCTTGAATATCCACTTTGATCCAAGAGGTTTTGAATCAGGTGGGAGATCCACCAGTTCCCAAGTGTGATTCTGAAGAATAGAATCTATTTCACTTTTTACAGCTTCTTTCCAAAGAGGAGCTTCAGCTGACCTCATTGCCTCAGCATATGTTTGAGGCTCGTTCTCAATGAGGTAAGTAAAATAATCATTTCCAAATGATTTTTCAACTCGTGCTCGTTTGCTTCTTTTGAGCTCAGGTTCCTGACCTGGTTCCAATCCAGAATCAAACATTTCCATTTGATATTGGTCCACAATTTCGTGTTCTCGGTTGGCCGAACTCGGTGCAGCGTCTGCCTTTGCTGCGAACATATTTTCAAAGAATGATGCATTTTTTGATTCCATTATCGTATTCTTTGGGATATCCGAGATTTTTTAATCGAATACCAAGAATCGATAGGCAGTGTTGTTATGTGCATATCCTATGAAAATACAGTCCACTGTCTTGGGACAGATTCTCACACGTTTGGGAGGTGGCACCACTACCTTAGCTAGACACCCCCACACTCGAAGGTGTTTGTAAGATGGTTTTCGACCTTTCCAAATCTCATAAGGGGTCTTATCCATCTTTTTCCGAGGTATTAAGTTAAGCAAATAATTACTGCTTAAAATAGCCTCACCCCACATGTTTTGGGGTAGTGCACAACTTAACAACATCGCATTCATCATTTCTTTTAATGTGCGATTTTTGCGTTCAGCAACGCCGTTTGATTGAGGTGAATAAGGTGGAGTTAATTCGTGAATTATTCCATTTTGTGCACAAAATTCACCAATCGGGGTTTCATATTCTCCACCTCTATCACTTCGAATTCGTTTAATTCGTTTGTTAAGTTGATTTTCCACTTCATTTTTATACAAAATGAATTTACTTAATGTCTCGTCTTTACTTTTGAGTAAATACACATAACAATACTTTGTACAATCGTCAATAAATGTAATAAAATATTTATTACCACCACGAGTTTGTATAATTTTCAAATTGCATACATCGTTGTGAATCAATTTGAGTGGTTCACTTTCACGATGAATAGTTTGGAAAGACGATCGAGTTTGTATTGCTTCAACACAAATTTCACATTTATGTTTGTTTAATTCAAATTTCGGAATGTGGTTCAGGCTAATTCAACGACGAACTGAATCATAATTAACATGACCCAATCGACTATGCCATAAAGTAGAGGACTCAACAATATAAGCAACAGACTTATTATTATTATTTTCAATAATTGTCATAATACAACATTTCAAAAGTCCATCCTCTACATATCCTTTACCCACATACACTCCTGATTTACGCAAAACAAAATTATCACCATTCATATTAATATTAAAGCCGTGTTTCATCAGGAGCGTCCCCGACACCAGGTTCTTCGTCATCGCTGGGACGTAGACGACATTGGTCAGCGTCAAAACTCTTCCAGACGTGATCTTCAGAAGCACCTTTCCTCTTCCCTTGACTTCCACAGGAGCAGCATTCTCCATGTACATCGTTTCTCCTTCAACACGCTCGAATGAGGAGAACTGATTCTTATCCATGCAAATATGGCGAGTTGCTCCCGTGTCAAGCCACCATTGTTTCTTGTTTGATCCCACCAGATTTGCCTCAGAGACAACACACGTCAGGTCGAGTGGCTCTTCATCTTTAGTAACGACGTGTGCCTGATTCGTCTCTTTCTTACTTTTCGGCGCCTTGCAGTCTATCGAACAGTGTCCGACCTTTCCGCAATTAAAACAGGTACCTTTGAAGGTACTCTTAGCCTTTTCAATGCCGCCAGATGGCTTCAGCTTCTCTTTTCCCTTGTCCGTTAGCTTCCAGTTCTTTCCTGGATGCTCATTATTCCTTGGAGCTGTCTTGAAACGAGAGCCTTGGCCTTTGTGCTCGACTACATTGGCCTTGCTGCCAAGTATCAGATGTCCCCTGCTTGCCAGGTTCGACCTGTGCTCCTCTTCAGTTTGGACACGATTAATCAGTCTCGCCATATCCATTTCCTTCCGTTTGTGTTTCAAATAAATTTTGAAATCACCCCAACTAGGTGGTAATTTTTCAATTATCGTCACCACTTGGAAAGCTTCACTCAGCTCCATCCCTTCGGCCTGGATCTCATGCAAAATCAGCTGAAAGGCATCAAGCTGTTTCGTAACGCTTTTTCCATCGACCATTTTGAAATCCAAAAACCGACCAACGATAAATTTCTTTGCACCAACATCCTCGGTTATGTACTTTTTCTCCAGCATCCCCCACAACTGCTTAGCCATTAACGCATGCCGGTAGACACCGTACAGGGAGTCGCTTAGACCGTTCAGTACATAATTTTTGCACATAAAGTCTGAACGGTTCCAGATCTTCAGAATTTGTGCTTTCTGTTCTTCCGAGGATCCTTCAGGCATAACAAGTGCATCCTCCGTCAGCCAATCTGCCAGGTTTAGCATGGTCAGATAAAACAACATCTTCTGTTGCCATGTTTTAAAATTCTGCCCGTTGAATTTCTCTGGCTTATCGGCTGCCGCAGCAATAGGCTGCCTGAAAGTTGCAGCAACAGGCTGCATTGTATGGCCCGTAATAGCAACAGGCTGTATACCCTCCAAATCGTCTAATTGTTGTCCGGCAGACACTGCGAGACTCTGCGCAAGTCCTACAGCCATTCGCTGCGGACGAGGCATAACAGCAGCAGGCTGTTTCAGTCGGACATCAACAGGATGCCGTTTCTGCAGTCCAGCAACAGGCTGGTTGGAGGTCGCAGCAGCAGGCTGCGCCCCCTCCATCGCGGCCTTGAAGGCCTGTTCATACGCTTCCTTTGCAGCCTTTCCGCAGCAGCCCTCCTGGCCGCCTCGCGCGCTTCACGCGTGGCAGCAGCGATTTCATCGACTTCACTGGTTGTGCGGGGTGGTTGAGATAACGGAACAATGGGAGCAGGAGCGTGAGACTCGCTGGAATTCATCTCCTCATTCTCGTCTCCGTCAGGATCATTCTAAACGTCATCATTCAGATCGTTCAGATTTCTGTCAGGATCGTTTATCGCGTCGATCATTGCTTCATCTTCAGGTACGATCTGGTCAACCATCTCAGATTTTCACACGAAGGGAACAAATTTGCTTCAAGATTGTTACCAAAGTTGTAATATGGAAAATCGAGACGCTTTAATTCGAAATCAGATAACAGATCTAATTAAGAAGATTCGAGTTTCGCGTTGCACGCGATCTCCTTCATAATTGGCCCATTCATAATTGGGCTCAATCCAACCAATTAATTTATTTATTCATAAATGCATCACATTGCATTTATGGAGGGTGGAGTTTCTTTGTTTTTCCAATGTGGGATAAACTCATCACATTCTCCTCCTTCTTCTTTCTCTTTCACATTCACACACCAACAAATGAAATTTGGAAAGATGTCCAAATTTGAGGATATTGGAATCTATTATTTTCAATGATCAAATCGATAGAATTGATTTTTAAGTTTTGAAAAATGAATCGACGTGGGTTCAGAATTTTTATTTAAGAGAATAAAAATTTGCATCTTGTAAAGAATACAGACAATTATTTTATTCGGTTGGGGTGACAGCCGGCAATGTATTTCGGCTTGTCTGCAGTGCAATTGATCATCGATCATCTAACGATTAAAAAGAAAAAAAATAAAAAATAAACTGCAGCAAATGGCAGAGCAGATTGGAAGCAGTATAACGGCATTGGGAAATGACGTTGTATTCAATTATTTTTTCGTAGAATTTTATGGGAGTTTGTGAAAAACAACACCATGAAAGGAATATGATTAAAAGATTTATTTCTTCCAAGTTTTTGTATGAAGGATGTGGGGGAGGTGGATATAATTCTCAAATTAAAATTTAGCTGAGAATATTGGAAAAAGGATATAATAATCCTTTGAGTATGGAATTAATATTCCAATGGTTCAATATTATACATATATATGTATGAATATTATAAATTAAACCTATATTTCTTTTACCAAATTGTCATGTAATTAATTTGACTAAATTAATTGATGTGTTTTGCAAAACACATGAAATGAATTTTAGTGTCGTTAAAATTAATTTTGTATAAATTCATTTGTGAAGGGTTGGTTCACAATTCTTTTACGAGAATTGAAAATTAGTGATAATTTGATAATCACTTGGACACACTTTAAGAATCGTCAAAAATATTTTGACTGCAATTAAATGTGGAGTGGGTAAAATACTTTGACCACCACAAAGTTGGGAGTAATATTTTGATAGCTCATTAGGATGGCAAATCGCGGTGAGGCGTAAGGCTGTTGTTTATTATTTGTAAAATGTTAGCGTTGTTTGAATTATCATGAAGCCGAAGCTTTGTATGTCGAATTGTATAGAGTGGAATCACTCAGATGCATTGGCCAAGAAACTGACATACAATATGTTATCGGGATGGTTAAAGTCCATTAAATTGTCTTAGTGTGAGACACCCAATTCCCTTCTAGTGATGTTGGGAGCTGAATTCAATGTGAAAAGCTCACGTTTAGAGGATTGGAACACACATGATTTATTCATCTCAAAGAGTGTGTTCGGACTTGCAAGAAATTTAGGTTGAGGTTTAGCCTCTTAATAATCCTTTGAAAAATCGTAGTGCAGGGGCGAGATTAAAGGAATTACCTATACGAACATGAAGTTTTGCCGCCTCAAGAAATGCTACGGACTTAGCTTTCGATATGTTCATGAATGGATTGGGACACATGGCTTGTAAAGTGTCAAGTGTAAATTGTTGGGAAAATGATTTTGTGTAGATTATCTTCATGTATTCATTATGAGTTGACAAGTTCAATCCTTGGGACACCTAGATTCTCGAATGTTTAGAATGTGTAATGTACTAAGATGAAAATTCAATCGTTATGATATTTTCATTTATGCATTAGCTTGTTGTGTATGTTGAAAAGTTTGAGAATAAATCATGGATAACGACAAAATGGGGGAGGATTGTTGGTTATTTTTTTGTTATTGGATTTATTCGAATATAAGGAATGTTGTATCGAGCTATCTTCGGGAAGGGTCGCGTGGGGTGTACACTCGAGAAAGCTATACGATATTGAACGAAGTGTGAAATAATATGATGAAGGTGAAAATTATGGTACATATTATTTGAAAATTATTATTTTCAAATGAGGAATTAATTATAGGAATTAAATTATTTAATTCCTGCATCAAACCTTGTAAATTCAAATGTATTTAAATTTGAATGAATAAATTGAATCTTTTCAATTTGAAATTAAAGTTGCATATTTTCACGAAAAGATTGTGTCTTTTGATTTAAAATTCAAATTCAAATCTTTTCAGAAAAGACACTTCCAAATATATTATTTATGTCTTATCTTCAAATAATTGTCAGACAGAAGAAAAAAAAAGATTATGCAGAATTAATCTACCTGCGCAAATAATCTCTCAACTGTTTAATTGCTCGATTTTTTGTCTAAAATTCAAGTGTTGCTTTGTTTTATCCTCGTACGAATTTTGCGTAACCCGGGGCGTTAATAGGGTCGAAATATCGTATAAGGAAAACGAATCTACGCGACTCAAAGTATATCAAGATCGTGTATACCCTGCGAAATTCGATTTCTTTGTAATTTGATTCAATCCAAATTATTTATCCAACACACCCTATGCTCATCTCGTCTTGCAATTAGATGTATTTTTGTTTTGATTTATGTAGAATTTTGTAATTTTGCGATGAATATGACGATTAATATCACCTGATGTTTTGACGGGAGGTGTTGCACATTCTATTTTTCAATTGAATAGTGTTAGAGGAAAAATGAAAATGTCTGGCAGGTTTATTAGGAAAATATAAATGAAAATGGAACTGGTGAAAACCTTATTTTTTATAATTGGGAAATCAACTTAAAACTATGCCTCAACGATTTGGAACTAGTTATGTGGAGTTCAGATTTACTGATTATGAGAACCTTTATAAATTTTCTTGAACACGTGTTATAGAACATCAGTCTAAATAATATTTATTACTACATTATAGTCATATCTAAGTATGTAATAATATTTTTAAATTAAAAATAGATGTTAGTTATAAAGCTGTTTTTACAGAAAAATAAATTTCTAGAATGCAACCATACGTTGAAAACACACAAACAAGAACCAACAATTTATTAACGTCAACAATTTTAACATGGATACCAAATTCATTATTCTTAAATTCAAAATAAAATAAAAGCTCACTCAAGATTAATTGTCATAACCAAGCGTGACAACATTAATCCCAAAACCCACAACGACTCATTCACTAACAACCTTGATTGTTCTGTTTAGTAAAATTGTCGTTGCAGCTTCCCCTGCCACTCTGCCCTGTCCATTGATTATATGGCGCCATGGTGCTTGACTCCATTCCAAATGGATAATCAACGTCCATATTTGTTGTTGGTGGAGCAATGGGTGCTTTCCCAACCATATTGCTCATGTTCTTTCCAAACTTGGTCACAGCTTCCTTCAACAATTGGAGTTCGTTCCATACTTCTGCCTCCTAGGGGTACCATACTCTTCCTTCTAAACCTCTCCAGCTCTTCTCTCAGCTCTTTCTCGGCTGCTATCCCTGCCTCAACTCGAGCCAAATCATCAACTTCATTTTCCTGTATCTACACCAAGTCTCGACCCTCTCTCTCTTGATTACCTACACCAATATTCTCTGGCGTGAGAAACTTGTCAGATACAAAGTTTATACCTGGATGTCCAAACGAATGGGCTTTGTCTCCGGGCGAGAACACTACTACGCTAGCCTCTGCGCCTGTTAGGGTGCAAGGTTCGGTTGCTTTTTTTAAAATCCCTTCTCGGCGCTTGGAGAAAGTCACTTGAAGGTTTCTCTCATTTTCCATCTTTTGCAAAGGCATCTTGCGACGGCCAGGCTTTTATTGTGAAGATTCAGATTGATCCCCAGAACTAATCATGTTGTCAAGGGTGGAGAACACGAAATGCTTGTAAGAACTTAGATAGGAAAAGAACAAATAAGAGAAAGATGCATTGTCAATATTGGTGTATTTTTTCATGCATGGATGTCCTAATATTCATACTAGTTCAAACATGATTAATTTTTTTTTGTAGGAAATTTGGATTGATGGCCAAAATCCATATTTTGTCTTACAATTTTTATCATATTAATAGAAATCTTATGATTATTAGCTATGGTTAATTAGTTTTGGATATTGGAGTTTACCTAATTCTTGACACAAAATCCTGAAGTTAGTACTAATTGATATACAATGATAATGTTATTTTTTATTCCGTACCATTTCATTTATTAGAATTTCTTTAAAAATTATAGCATCTAATATTAATTCTCCATTTAAATATACATTATAAACAAAAACAAAAACATAGAACAAATCAATAGATTGTAATAACACCTTCATTTTATTTTATATTACTATATTTGTTTAAAGGAAAAATTGTGTCTGTGAGTTCAATTTATTTTGAAATTTAAACAATTTAAGTGAATTCTTTTGCATTTGATATTTTATGGGCAAAAAGTTGAAAACTTACAATATACTAATTATGAAAAAAAAAAGTGGGGGGGGGGGGGGGGGGGTTGGGAATAAATGCACTAATGAACTTTCGAATAATAAACTGAATATAATAGCAACACATAAGAAAACATAAGATTGATTAATATAAAAAAATATAAGATTTGAGCACATGATAATTTAATTAAAATTTTACAATAATTTGATTTTTAGTTTAAACATTATCAATATTTGATGGTTTACTTCATATGTTTTCATTAAATAAATTTTGATAATGATCATTTCAAAATAATGTTTTGTATTGTCATCTGGTTAAATTGTGGAAATTATCTTTTATCCATGTATATATATATATATATAATATGTATTAGGGGATAGGATTTAGAATAAGACCATTAACTAATTGAAATTAGGAAGAAAAAAATGTTCGCTATTGCTTTTAAATCAATATTTTTTTTTCTCCGAAATATCACTGCCAACAAAGAACTCTCGGTCACACATTGCATCAAATAATTACATCAATTTATTAAAGTGACCTTAAATTAAAATATTAAAACAAAAACATAAGTGAACCAATACTATTTTATGGTGTTTTACTACCGAAAATCTTTGTTTCAAATATTATCCTTGATATTCACCATGAATATATATATATGAGAAAATTATAAAAAAAAATATCTTCTATGTATAATCAATTATCACTTTTGTCCTTTATTTAAAGTAGCTGAAAATATATATTTTGCATATTTGCAAAAGTCGTCATTTCTGTCATTTGATCGAAAAATATATTCTGCATATTTGCAAAAGTCGTCATTTCTGTCATTTGACCGTGTGTGATGTACACACAATGGAAGTCTCATGCGCGGCCAAACGACGACTTCTGTCATTTTTTATTTTATTTTTTTTGTACCATTCTATTTATTAGAATTTCTTTAAAAATTATAGCATCTAATATTAATTCTCCATTTTTTTTATACATTATAAACAAAAATAAAAGAAAATCATAGAACAAATTCATAGATTGTAATAACAGTTTCATTTTATTTTATTTTACTTTTTTTTTTTTTTAAGGAACTTCGGTTTGTGATTTCAATTTATTTTGAAATTTAAACTATTGAAGTGAATTCTTTAGATTTGATATTTTATTGGCAAAAATTGAAAACTTATAATATACTAATTATGAAAAAGGAAAATAAATAAATAAATGCACTAATAAAGTTTCAAATAATAAACTTAATATAATAGTTATACATAAAGAAAACACAAGATTGATTGACTTCAATAAATATAATATTTGACCATGTTATAATATATTCAAAATTGTACAATAATTTGATTTATAGTCAATTTTATCCATATTTGATAGTTTACTTCATAAGAAGAGGATCATGTGTTGAGGTTGTATTTTAATTCAGTTGTGCCGATTTCTTAAAAATTTACATATTTATCCTTATATTAAATCTTTATCATTAGATATTAAATGAAATTAAGGGATGGGATTAATCCCAGTAATACTGATTTATGCATTTCGGCATGTTATCCATACCTTACTTCATATGTTTTCATGAAAGAAATTTTGGTAATGGTCCTTTCAAAATAATGTTTTGTATTTTCATCTAGTTAAATGTTGTGGAAATTATCTTTTATCCATGTATATATATATATATATATATTTTGTTAACATATATTTAGAAATAATATATTATATTTATGGTAGTTATCTTATTTAAGAGATTCGTAGGATTCTTGTCTTATTTAAATGGTTTATATATGACTATAAATATGTATGTAATCTTATGATTGAATAGAGAATTTCAGTTTCATATTCTAACATGGTATCAGAGCCAAATTCTCTCGGTGTACCTCCATGACCCGTTATATCCCGTATATATTTTTATTTTTATTAATGTAATTGTTTCTATCCACGATCATGGTGTTATTTTCATGTCGTCTCTGTCTCTACTACTCCACTGACAGAGTCTACTTTCGACTCTAACACTGTTGAGAGTCATGTTTTCGACTCTAACTCTATTGAGAGCGAGAGAGTCCTGTTTCCGACTCTAGCTCTGTTGTGAGCGAGCGAGTCCTGTTTCCGTCTCTAGCTCTATAGAGTGAGCGAGTCCTGTTTCCGGCTCTAGTTCCGTTGTGAGCGAGCGAGTCCTGTTTCCAACTCTAACGGTGTTGAGAATTCTGCTTCTGACTCTGATAGTTTATATATGACTATAAATATGTACGTAATCTTATGATTAAATAGAGAATTTTAATTTCATATTCTAACATATATAATAAATTAGGGGATAACATTTAATGTTCGTTATTACTTATAAATCAATATATTATATTTTCGTCCAAATATCACTGTCAACACAAAAGTCTCATTATCACATTGCATCAAACAATTAAATCAATCGATTAAAGTAACCTTAAAAGTATTAAAACAACACTACTTTATTGTTTTTTTTTTACAGGAATTCTCTCTTTCAATTATTATCCTTGATATCAACATGAATATATACATGTCCATAATACATATATACATATTTTTTAGCAATAACTATAACGAAGATAGAATACAAGATGCAAATCTTATAGGCGACGATAGAATACAAGGTGTAAATCTTGTAGTATAAACTACGTAAGGACTTTCGGAAAAATAAAATAAAATAAAAAGAAAAGATTGCAGTCAAAAACATTTTCAGCATAATATATATATATGTAAACTTGAAACATGAATCTTACAAATTTTAAAATAACGTTTGAATTTATTTTAAAAAAATATAAATATACATAAGGGATCACATACTAGTTTATTTCCACTTCATTGGAACTAAGGAACAATGCAGGGAAGAAGTGGCTATTAATAGCAGAAAAATAAACTAGTGTAGTTTATTGTGTGATATAGTAGTGTACAATTATATTTATAGTGGAGAAACATTTTTCAATATAAAGTTTGCGTATCTATCTTTTTAATAAGCTCGGATTTCTCCCATTATAATTTTGCTATACATACAATAAATCTAATTTCTTACGATTATGAGAATATCAACGTAGATATTGAAAATAAAACATTATATTGCTAGCGAATACGAGAAAACGGAAAGTATCAGTTTATATATATATATATATATAGATTTACATTTATATGAAACTTAGAATATGTTTAATAAATGTAATAAGAACAATAAAATAAAAGTGTAAAATTGTGTTTTTGTTTAGGGTACAGGGAATTATGTATAAATAAAAATATGGTGACATTTTGGGTGGAATTGTTAATTTTTTTGTGAGATAATAGAAAATATATTATATATATTATGTGAATGTGTGTATATATTGTATTCCTTTGTTTTATTCATATCTAATTATATATTAAATCATTTTCCTTCAACTAGCTTTTTTTTTTTTTTTTTTTTTTTATGACGTGAGAATCCGCAGTCGGTACCCGAAAGTGCGTACTGAGTAAATTCCCGGCCGAACCTAATACTCTGGAAACTAGGCCAGACAGGCAAGTCACACTAGATGAATCATGTGTGGCAGATGACTTGAGGCGTCGGGGGTTTGAATTTAACTAACTATTTTTACTCATATGTAATCGCACTCTCTCTAGGAGCCGGACATGTGTCCTTCCAATGCTATGATTACTATCAGAAAATTTCAAAAAGCTAAATATTGTGTAAAAAGGATTTTTTATATGCCTTGCTACAATGTTTTGTGTAATACATACTCGCGGCACGAATACTTGTGTTACGACATGAATTTGTTAATGATAAAAGGGTTTCTTGGCCGCATGTCACAAGCTTTTGTTGCTGAGTTTTATCTAAAGTAAGTTTTAATCTGTAAAACAATAGTATGGTATTAAATTGCTTAATCATTGTGTAAACTTATATACTATTTATATAATAAATGACAAAAACAAATTGAAATGTTATGTAAATCTTTTACCATATAAGAATATTGTTGAAGTATTGCCTAAATGTATTCGAAAGTAAATATTACCTAAACCACAATAATTTTATTGCAATACGTATAAAATACGGTGAATAATAGTTTAGTACCAAAACTGATATGATATTCAAAACTAATCATTAGATGGCATAGTCTAATGGTTTAAACTATTTGATTGAGTTAAGAATCGATGCTACAAAATATCCTATGGAACCTAATGTCATATCTAGTGTGAATGTTATTGACATGCAGGGATTCTTAGGATTGAATGGCAAAACTAATTTGGACATGAAATCAAGGCCTTTACTAAATCAATTGGAGTCTGCTCATTTGAAATACGAGATGAGTCTTTCAAGAGCATCTTGTGTGAGTAATTGTTGATTAAAAAATGGAAGTAAAAGATGAAGATTGGA